AATTTAATTCTTGTCTGTAAGACTGTATTTCATCTTTAATATCACTTCTATATTTCTGCATAACTTCTTAATTGTCTAATAACGCATCTCTTCTTAAACTTAACATCTTACTATACTATATCTCACAAGTTTCTTTTCTGCCAAAGGTGTTGATAGAAATAGTAATAAAAAATCTCAAAAATTCAACGATGATTCAATTTACTTTTCAGTTTCTAAATTTACTAGTTGTAAAATTCTTAAAAAACTTGCCATGTCAGTGTCCCTTACATCTCTTACGTACTCCGCCCTATTGTTGTAGACGAAGTAAGTACACTAAAGGAAATTAAAATACGAAAACATTTCATCTTATTTCATTTCCCTTTGATCGTTTTTCAGGTTCAGTTGAAAAAACATGTCTTGATAGAAAATTAATCAACTTTCGTATTAAAAAACCACATTTTATGTACGTCCAAGAATTCTATTAAAGCTAATTGAAATATGAGATTAATATCTTGTGTTACTGAATAGTTTTGCTGAGAAAGTGCACGAAATATTAACTCGTTTAAATACATATCTTGTTTTGATAGTGATATTGATATGGCGGATTTTCCCATGGCCATATCCTTTATTAATTTTTTCCCGACTTTTTCAATTTTTTTTTCAAGTTCCTTTCTTTTGTGAGAAAATCTATTGTTTCGAGCCCTATTTTTAGCATTTTTTAAAAACACGAAATTTTAAATTAAACTAATTGCACTCATGATTTTTTATTCAAATAACCAGTTCAGTTTTTTGTCGGTAAGATCAAAAAATATTATTCATATTTCATCATCATCATCATTACAGCCCTTCACAAGTCCACTGCTGAATATAAGCCTATATTCATATTTCATCAGTATGTAATTTGTATCTAAATATAATTTCCAAAACACACGATTCCAAAAAAATACCGAGAGGTCATCCAGGTACTTATAAAGATAATTGTCTATTTTATCGCATTGTATGACGCTAAAAATTGAGTTCATAACGGAAAAGAAATCGTCCTGTTTCGGTTTTTCATTTGTTACAATCGTTAAAAATTCTCAACTCTCTGTTTCAGTATATTAGGTACCTTTAGTAATAGACAGGTTGTTTAACCCTTTTGAAAAGGTTAAACCTAGTCCCCATAGATTGGGTGCGTTTGGCAGAAAAAATCGCTAGCAAGCGCTTACAAGCGCTAAAATAGTTTTCGGCCAGGACACGATTGCTACTTCAGTAGCGCTGACACAATCCGCCATTTTGCTTATTTAATTTGTTTGTTTTGAAGTAGAAATTATAATTTGTTTTGGGCAATATTAGTTTTAAGTAATATAATGACATGAATAGACATATATATGTTATTAAAAATTCATGATTGGTAAGGTTTTTAATATGAATACTTTACAAACATATATTTAAATTAGGTTAGGTTCCCCGGTTAAAACTAACATCGTGTCCTGGAGGAAAATAGCTACTTACGATTTGACAGCGCTTACCGCTTACGATCGCCATTTTGCTTACAAGCGCTTGCTAGCGCTTTTTTCTGTCAAACGCACCCATTGTATCTGTACAACAGTTATTCTTAGTATTTCAAAGAATTTCGAGATTTTTGGTGATGAAAATTCATTTATTATTATTTCACATACGTGTATGATATTAAAGAATGGACCATTATTGTGCCTGGTTTCGTTTTTTGTAATAATTGATTTTGTTGTTTTAAAAGATGGAGAACAACAGTAAAATATATCTTTGGAATTTTTAAGCTATTGCATAGCTTCTATCGCGGGCCTTGAGCGTGGGGACCGAATCCAGAAATTTATTCCGCCGTAACGAAAAAACCTCACGCTCCCCACTCCGACAAAACTCCGAAAATTTTAAAAATTGTGTTTTTGTTACTAGTTCTTTCATATATATGCATTTAATAAAAAGCTGTTATTTTAACACTACAAACAGACAATTCAATTTTATTTATTTGTAGATATAGATATAAGATATTATTCATATTGGTGTCATTTTAAAGGGAATATCATGTACTATTATAATAATAAAATAATTGTCTCCAGTAAATATTGTACTTTTCTTGTAAAACTCGAAATCAAAAATAAATACGATTTATTTTTATATCCCCATATGCTTTATTTTCATCCCTTATTTTTTATTTGACCAATTTTCTTTTAACCAAATTAAATTCTGAATTCGTTGAGCTTTTTGAGAATATTTTTATTTGAATGTTAGGTAGGCACCTATATTAGTTTTTCAGTAGTAATCGTTTTTGTTGCGACAGTCTCGCGCGGTCGTAAAAAAAGTTACTGCGCGGACAGGTGGGACGAGAATCACTTGCGCGGCGTTGACGGTTCGGTGGATAGGTACCTACCTACTGTTATTACCTAAATACCCATAACCTACTATACAACAAAATTTGACAAACTGTCGCTGCGTCGTGGACACTAAAATGTAAACTGCCTACCTACCTGCTAAGTACGTCGGTACTAAGGAAACAGTCTTGACGGGTCACTTGTCTTGATAAAAACATGTGTTTACATCTAGTGATATTGTGTATATATAAAAAAAAGTAAGTAGACAGGTAAGTATTTTTGAAAACAATTTATAGGTAGGCAGAACTAATTACAATTATTATCTAAATATTATAAATGCGAAAGTTTGGATGGATAGATGTATGTTACTCAATCACGCCAGAACAGCTGAAGGGATCTGGATGATATTTAGCTCAGAGATAGGTTAACCTAGTCTAGAATAACACATTTGATACCGTTTATTCAGGTATTTCGTTCCTGTGGGATAATTTTCGAGTTCACGCGTTTGAAGCCGCTGGCAACAGCTAGTACGGATATAAACTGCGATGACTGTTCCAGTTCATACTTCGGCGTCGTGAACTCTTGAGTGATGACTCAGACTCTTGACTGCATGACCACGGGGAAAACTAAAAAACAATCGAGTTATACAACACTAGAGGAGCAAACCACATTACCGCGAGTCGAAAAAAGTGTAACCACTATCCAAACGCGACGACGTAGCTTTGAAACTAATAACAATTTTAAGTAAACATATATCTATCTCACTTACACAAGTTGCGAAAACAATATCGTCGCTAAGATTAGATAAAGATAGACACACAAACATGCAATGGCGGGTTGGTGTGGCTTACTATATGAAATTTTACCTAAAATACGCAATAAAAATGAGTTTTTTTAAGCTGCAGTTAATTGTTTTTATATTAAAAAGTATATTTTATTTTAAAATCTTTATTACGTCCCCTTAGAAAAAAGGATACAAAGCTTATCAGATGAATGTAAGTAAACATAACGATGAAATAAAACGTATTTTTATGGTACTAGTAAATCAAACAATATAAAATAGGTAATAAAATATAATTACTTAATATAAAATTTATATGAAATTATAAATAATATTAATTTATTAATATAAAATAGGTAATAAAATATATTTAATAGATAATTCATGAATAAACTAAAATAAGAATAATTAATTATTTTGTATGAAAGTTAAAACGTAGTTCTTATTATAATTTCCAAAATATTTAAAATCAGAGGTAACAAATTAACTTACTCCATTAATTATAGTGTCTACCATTAATGTAGTATAATCACAAATGCGGAAAAGTGGCAACATTGAACCTAAATGGCAATATTCGATAATTTTATTTAATTATTTGAGGTTTTTTACGTTTATATGAAAACAAAAACTAAAAATTATGTGTTGAAAGTAATTCCGCTTGATTTATTACATTTTTGTGACCTTGAATAGCATTCTTTCACTACGCATTTACCCATTTTTGTCGCGGCTCAACTCTGTCGGCGTCACATTGAACAATGAGCTCACGTTAGCTAGGCATATGGCTGTGGCCATATGTGCAGTGGCAACGCTTTGGCGCGGTTATTACTGATCTAGTGTTATATAAATCAATGTAAAAAACATAATAAAATAAGCAATCTATATTAGGTATCTATAGAGCCATAGAGGTATAGTATAAAGCGATAACGCAGCGCCTAATAATTTAGTACGAGTGGCACGATGCCAGGTGAGACAACGTGCTTTTTGACCGCGCCCACAAATGAGTTCGAGCCCGCGACTTGTGCCACCTACGCAATTCCTTTGTATAGTGCGACGTTGCCACTCTTATTAGTTATTCCGCTTTGTAATATTTTATTTATAGGTGATATTTTGTTTATGTAGGTATTCGATAGATTCCTATAGTCTGTTTTTTTCGCAGGAGACAAAAATAACAGATATTTATTAGATTCGTTTAGCACGAATAATACAGTTTTTATGATTCTGGTTCAGATTAGATTTAATTTTAGTCAATTAAATTTCGTATATTGTTCAAAATAATGAAATAAATCCACAGAATCTGCAGTTACGAAAAAAAGCAATATCATTTTAGTCTCCGGCGAAAAAAAAAAAGATATATATCATGATTAATTTACCAACTAGTTATTCGTTTACTAAATACGATAAAATATTTAGACGTCATTTTTCTTCCAATCTTGCTGTACTGAATATTTACGTAGTCCTTATATTAATAATTATAATTGCATAAGTTGATACAAAATGCTATGCAATAGCTTTACCGCGGCAGTCCCCGAGTGCCACACGTCTTTTTTTTATAGTCATCAACATTTGCTGTACCGAAGTTATTATAAACATTATATGATTTGGTTATTTTATTACAAAAACGACGTTCATATGATTCATTACAGTTTTTTGTTCTTTCATACCTGTTTATGTTTACCGATGTAAATGTATATCTAACTATCTTCGTACCATTTAGTTCTTTTTATAGTATTTTTAATGCAGCAAATATGGATTACCAAATTACCAAGTCCTTGTATAGCAAATAAATTAGGATAACCTTAAAAACATTTTGTTACTAATACCTCTTTAATTTTTAAGAATATTTTAAATACTTCCAAAATGTGTTGCTTTCGCATTCTTTTTTACAAAACACTTACTTATTCAACGATAATTTAAAAACTTTCAATATTTGTTTTAACCCTCACATTCCTTTTTACAAACCATGTTACAGTGTATTTAATTATCTGAAACAATCAGAAATACATAAAATTAATTTTTAATTGTCTTGCTTCGGACGCATAACATAATATAAAATATTGAATACAGTCTACCTGGTACAGTATTAAAGTCGTCAAAGCAGCTAACAGTGGTTCGTTGGTAGCATACAGCACGCTACCGAATATCATGGAATCCAATGTAGCGAGTGTCCATTCATTGCCCCACCTGTTGACGAACTCTTGGAATAAAGAATGTATTTCTTGTGGAACGTACCTATTACTTGGAACGCTGTGCTACAAGTTTATGATCTAAGGTGACGAGCAGTGAGTGACATTCAGAAAGTTGATGGATGCAGAAGTACCGTGTTTTGGGTTAGACTATGTTCAACTTGTGAATGGCAGTAATAATAATGATGATATACTTATTTTATAAATAGATAGTGTGTGTCGTGTTTTTATGTTATTAGATACGTGTCGAGTGATCTCTGGAGCTACTAGACCATTTAAAAAATATTTCTCACTTATTAAGCTATTTTTTATATATTTTGTAAATCTATAGTCATGGACTATGTTAGATATTTGTTTCTCGCTCGTTACCACATATTGACAAAGCATTTAGACAAAGCCAGGTTGCGAAGCTCTTCGACTAACCTAAAATGTATATTCATCTTTAGATAGTGTATACAGATACTGACTTGTTTTTTACTGATATGTAGGGATTTGTCATCAAGTATAGCTGTTATGTTGGAAATGTTAATGCTAAGTTACTTCGCTCAGGTTATTAGATCATAATCTGGATTTATTATTTAGATCCTGCTTAACTGATGGGTATATTGATATTTATTAAAAAGAAAAGGAATGGAATATATGTTAAACATGATTTCCTAAAAATTATTTAAAAGTTATCCTAATTAAAAATTGTAATATCTCCTGCATCGTGGAGGCGTTTTACATGATCTGTTCTTAACTATGAATACGAGTACATCTACTTTTTTATATATAGAGTATATAGTCAAAATCCTTTGCCGTGTAGTGACGGCGTAAAGAAATATCATCACGATGTTTTCCTTATACCATATCATCCCGGGGATGTCGTAAGTGATGACAGAGGAAAAGTAAACCGAGAGATAGGTAGCAGAATCTTTCTAATCATTACACAATAATAATAAACATACTGCCTGCCAACCCGCTTGCCAAGGATGGCAACTAAAGCAAATATCCCCCTATGTAGCAATGGACTTTTGACCGCCTGGAATGGTAAAGATGAGAAAATTAACAAAACTAAAATCGTGTGTATACACAATGGGCTTTAATAAATGAATGCGTGAGAGATCTTCCACTTTACAAAATACAAATAGACATGAGGGATAATAAACTTTATACTATTCTAATGATCATCTTATTGATCCCATCACACATCTAATCATTTAACACGTGATATACCTAGCCATGCTGCAGTTATATTGTAGCACGAATAACCAGGAAAGGACCATGCTCTCACAGAATATCAGTCTAAAATAGCAGCTTGAGGATACTGTGTTTCGTATGGTGAGTGTAGAGAACCGGAGACCCTTTTTACTGAAAACGAGACATTTCATCTTAGTGTTCATGGGTGGCAACACATCTGCATTTTGATTCGTAATTGAGGATAGATGTAGATGTCTATGGGCCACAGCAAACGCTTACCATCATGTGGACTGTGTGCCCGTTTGTCACATTTATCCTGTAAAAAAATCTTCATCTTATAGATGAAGTAGATGAAGATACCTATGGCTAGGGTATTGTCATGTTTAAAAAGTATTGATTAAAATTTTTGCGAACGCACCACGTAATTGTAAAACACGACGGCGGTGAATTTTCGGCATCGTAGAGTAGTATACTGACAGTGCTTCCTTCTCGACCCAATAGCTCGAAATCCAAAAGTTTTTCGAGTATAGTTCTTTCTTTAGCCACCCAACTTAGTCCATCTAGAGCCTGTAATTATTTTAGAAGTGTTGGCCATAAAACTGTACAGCTCCGTCTCAACAACTCAAGGCTCGGTTCATTTTTGAGAGGGTTATGGAGTATTCAATCCACCGCACTGCTCCAATGTGCGTTGGTGAACGACATTACACATCCTCGAAATATACACCAAAAATCCAGGTTTCTTCACCATGGTTTCCTTTATAACCGAACATTTTTAGAATCAGAGCCATCTTCTTCTATTGTTCTTTGGGTATTTTATAGTTGGCGGAAGCGAGTTGATAAACCGCCATATATCGGGTGTTATAATATTTTTATGGCACTTCTTATAGTCGTCTAGTCGTACGGAATTGGGTGATGGATTTATTATACTTACCAGTATATTGGAGTAATATATATTGTATAACGATTATATAACAGTTCATTGTAGCCATGAAAAGTATCCATTTGTTTTATACTTAACTGTTCCAAATATTCATTACTTTACATAAAAAAGCATAAAAATAATAATAATAACTAAGTTATTAAAATTAATCTCAATCAGAATAATTTATTTTATAAATAAATAAATACTCAACTCTTTCAAAGAACGCTCCTAGAAATCTTGTTATTAATATTTGTTTTGATTTAGTGTTTTCCAAAGAACCTGTAAAAACATATCTATATTCATGATTGTAGTCACTTGGTGAAACTTCATCTTCATTTAATATGTAAGACATAGGCTCTTTGGCAGAAAAAAGAGATAGGAAGCGCTAGGAAGCGCAAGGAAGCAAAAAGGCGAAACTATACAATTTTCGGCCAGGACACGTTTGATAACTTCAGTAGCGCTGACACAATCCGCCATTTTGCTTATTTATTTTGTTTGTTTTAAACATTGAAGTAATATGTACTTACGTACATAGCTCAATGGTTTTAAAGTAGAGTTTATAAGTTGTTTTGTTCAATTAGTTTCAAGTAATATAATGACATGAATAAACATATCATAACATGTTATTAAAAATTCATGATTGGTAAGTTTTTAATATGAATACTTTACAAACATATATTTAAATTAGGTTAGGTTCCCCGGTTAAAGCTAACTTAGTGTCCTAGAGGAAAATAGCTATTTACCATTCGACAGCGCTTACCGCTTACGATCGCCATTTTGCTTACAAGCGCTTCCTAGCGCTTTTTTCTGCCCAACAGCCATTATGTAGGTACTTGTTTCCTTTATATTTTTATTTATTTATTATAAAACTGACCAGTTTCGGATAAGCCTTACGGCCATAACCAGATGATGCTGCAAGGTCGTAAGACAAAACCAATCGGTATAACTTATTCATAAAATTTAAATTGAAGCGTCTGTGTGAGTTATTGAAAGTTATTTCAATAATACTGCTTTTCAGTGCAGGGGTCACTTGCATGCTACTCGTATTGAGACATAAATAACTATTTTTAAAATTGTTGGTTTTAAAATTAATAGGCCTTCTAAACGGTCGGGACCAACCACCAACCGTCGTGACCTTGGTCGAGTTGATGTAAAAATGGACAGTGTAGACATCGGTTGTCTGACCAATATTTTGGTTGAGTCCGACGGCCTTGGTCGCGAGCGCATCCCTCACGACACGTTGGGTCCGTGGTTGACGCCGACCGTGTGGAACGCTTTCGGCCGACGAAAGCGCCTCAGGCCTCAGCGTGCGCGCTTAGGCAGGCGGATGTTTAACGGCGCTATGGATACAAACGGAAGCAAAGAACGTGAGGTCCTGACCGAATTCTTGTCACTGTACTGTGATTTACCATGTCTTAAAGAACCATGTCATGTTTAAAGTAATACAGCCACAATTTTATCCATTTCCTTTTTTTTTAATTTTCATTCAAGCCGCATAGAAACGTTAAAGCTAAACCGATTTTTTGTTGTATAGAAAAGCAAGTACATTACGTCTTTACTTTTTAAATACCAGAGACAACTGACAAGTTGAGTCAACCACCCGACCGTGTAGAACGAATACAAAAATCGGTTGACCCGACCAAGGTCACGACGGTTGGTGGTTGGTCCCGACCGTGTAGAAGCGCTTTTATTTTCAATCTTACATAAATAAAAATTGAACCTTCGTCTTTAAGAGATGACAATAACGAATATAAATCGTAATAAAGTATTTCTATTGTGATTTGAAAATCAATATTTTATAAAGAAAGTTAAGTACGTACCCTCTTCAGCCGCCAACAATTGCTTACAGATAGCCCTTAAAATAATTTTCGAAATTTATTAATACAACAATCAGTATTTGAAATATCAATATAATAATTATAAATTATAATATTAATGTAACCACCTGAATTGTGTAGAACAAACTACACGGCACGTTGTTAAAGGACCAGATAGATATCTTGCTTCTGAAGTCTTATCATTTCTATTACACAAAGAAATAACACGTGAGGTTAAGATCTAATTGAATGAAAACAAAAAACGACTAGAAACCAAAAAAAAAAGAGACCCACATAACCAAAAACAAAAAAATAAAAAATTTAAAAAAAAAAATTGCAACTATTGTGGATGACAAATCATTCACATTACAAATAATTTAAATATTTTATGAGGTAGAGCGACGCTACAACTATATATGACATATAAACAATGTTGGTTACAAATGTACGTACCTAAATGTGAGTTTCTACAATAAGTTAGGCATGGTTTTAGCTTTATTTTTGCGTCATTTAAAATGTTAGCAGCGCTTCATCTTTTGTTTGGTCTGAGTCAGTACGCGGCAAATTTATAATATTACGGTTATTAAGAAGCTGTGACATTTATAACTAATATAAAGTTATTCGTAATATAAGAGCTTCTTAAAATGTCCCATTTTTAGTATTGACTAATAATTCAGATTTATAAGTAAATATGTCCTTCAAAATAATCAAAGAGAATAAGTTTTAAATCAATTCAATTCAATCAATCAATTCGTTTCGATTCCTATCAATCAAACAATCTTGAAATAAAATTTTCCCAAAAAATGTACTTATCTATGTAAGTTTCCCTACATTATTTATGTAATAGAGCTTTTTAATATTGACTTTTGTAGGTATATTTTTTATGTTCTTACTCATCTTTAAAAATATTTTTTTTTTTAAATTCGCAAACGTGAATTCTAAATAATTAGAACCGTAGTGACAATTTCGAATAACTTACCGCCCATGCACGTAATGTGCGTAAAGATCCTCGTGAAATACTAACAAAGAGAGTTCTATGCTGGAACAAATCTTTGGAAGAATAGTTAAAGGAGACCCAAAAACTCTGTTTACAATCATCTGACCTAAAAAGACGACTGTATATGAAGTCCACCATGCGATGGAGGCAATAGCCCAATTGTAACCCTGACTCCTGGGTAGAACGGCTTGCCACGGTTTCATAAGCTGGTGGAAGAAAATTTAAGAATGGTTAAACCTGTTCTTTCCCTGGTAGTGCCGCTACCAGGGAAGGAACACGCTTTCAGAGCTTACTAGCGTAAAATAACAGCAAAATGCTTATCATATCTTGCTCATTATTACTTAGATTATTAATCGAGGATAGAGAATGAGAAAGAGAATCGAATTGAGATAGTTACATAGGTCGCTGCATTCTCTTTCAATCAGGTGGTCTGCGTTGCATAATTGACACTTCTATTTAAAAAAACTCTGTCACCCTCTTAAAAAAATATCTCACGTGTGCATTTGTTGATCCCGTCTTGCTTTGTCGGAATAGCATAAATTGATTTTCAGAATTACCAAAGATAATTTTACTTACTATCCGATGAGTGGCGAAAAAGTCATCTTAAAATTAATTACATCCAAAATATCGTGAGTGGTGGAGGTATCTTACTGTGATCTAAGATTCGCCGGGCCAACAAAATGATCACGGTAAGCCATATATCAACATAATCATAAACACTGGACCTACTCTCACTTCAAAAATGTATAGTCTGATGTGCTCTCAATATATTTTTCTTAAACATGCAGGTTTTGTCGCGATGTTTTCCTTATAGTTTAACGCATGATCAATAAGCAACCAGCGCTCAAAATTGCAATAAAAATTTTGTTTGGTGCCGGCGAGACTCATACTCGGTTTGCTAACGAACTAATACTTATAAAATTTCAGGACGAGCGCTAATCGCCTGCGCTACAAACACTCTTGATAAGTTAGTACAATTAAACAAATAAACTTCGACGTACTTGTAAAATGAAGAGGGTCAAAGTGACTGTGGCTACTGGTGACGTTCTTCTTTTCGTTTGCATGGCTGCCCACTCTCTCGCCAATATAGCTGGTTTCCAGCTGTTATTTGACTGTTCATTTATTGGCGTATCTGTAATAATTATACTTACAATTGTACTCTATATATCGACTCAATATTTGGGATAAATGCAGTAAAATTAATAGGTTTGTGAAAATTAATTGGTTTACGAGTTATCAAAATAATTTTCCTTTCGAACTTTTTAAAATCAATGGTTTTCATTCATTAATTTTTTATTACAGCCTGTCAAAAACTCAATGATAATCAGGATAATCAGGTGATCATTTAGAGTATAAATAAACAAGCTATATATATATACACTCTAATGGCGATCAGTTAATTCGGTAGTCAATACTATAAAAATAGATAATGGACCATGTTGAAATTTACCTTTATAGTAAGGAGTGTATTCGGACCAGTCAATAAAGAATATGTCACAACGACATTGAATCCAATTTACGTAAGTCACTTTCACAACCTGTAAAATAAAATAAAAAATTAACTATTGCTTCTCTTTGAACTCTCTCATCAACGAGTACCTATATCAACTATTATTATTATATTTTACAACTGCCGGCTTAGCACGTGTGATATCTGAATCTCGACAACGGCGCTGATTAAGAAGTCTTGTGATTTTAAACCATCCAGGAACCTACTCAAACGCACACAAAAAAATTCACCAAAATCGTTCGAGCCGTTTTCTAATTTTAGCCAGTCTAACGGACAGCAATTGATTTTTATAAGTATTGTTACGAGCTTGAGGTTCGTGACAATAAAAATTGCCGATAAAATTACCTAAATTAACACTTTAATTTACTTTACACAAATGAAAACTAAAAACACTAATAATTAAACACACTAATTCACTTAATTCCGCTCCGAAGCTTCGCTTGTGTCGCCGAGTTCAACTCTGCTCCCATCGCATCTTGCAGCGCCTAGTTATATAAATTAGCAAAATATCCAGAATGTTCAAGTAAACACGCGCAAGCTACCGAGAGTTCGAGTTTTAAACTTCAAGAAGTTTAGTTCTTCGGTTCGAGACTAGATGGCGCTAGTGCGCCGATTTGAGCGCGGCGTAACACTGCCCCCTCCTAAAGACATGCTCGTCCCGAGCATTATCGGCCCCATAATAACGCGCTAGGCGATGCACATGGACGATCTTAGGAGTCCCTCTTGCGCCTCTCTGTATCCGGTAGGTTACATCGTTGATCCTGGTCACAATCCGGTACGGGCCGTCCCATTTAGCTTGAAGCTTAGGAGATTTCCCTTTGCTGCGGACTGGATTGTGCAACCACACAAGTGAACCTTCGTCGAACCCTTTGTTGTTCATTTTGCGGTCATACCGGGTTTTCATCTTTTCAGACATTTGCTGGCCCGATTATCTGACGTGCTCATAAACGTCATTCATTTTGTTCCGCAAGTCATTTGCATAATCGGTTATACTGCGTGGAGTATCAGGTGGTATCCCGGTGATCAGGTCTGCAGGCAGCCGTAATTCTCTTCCAAAGTTTGCGAAAGCTGGTGTCACTGCTGTACTTTCGTGAACAGCGCTTCGATATGACAACAAAAACGGTTGTATGTGCTTGTCTCAATCTCGTTGCCGATTGTCTACAACTTTTGCTAGGTACCTCTCCAATGTCTGATTAAATCGTTCCACCATTCCATCAGATTGCGGGTGATAAGAAGTCGTTCTTGTTTTATGAGTACCCATAACTCGGCAAGTTTCCTGGAATATTTGAGACTCAAAATTCCTTCCTTGATCGCTGTGAATCTCTAAAGGTACACCAAAACGACAGTAGACTTCATGAACTAGCTTATCAGCAACTGTTGAAGCTTCTTGATTTGGAATGGCAAAGACTTCTGGCCACTTAGTGAAGTAATCCATCACAACCATGAAATACTTGTTACCGCTTTCACTCTCCGGAAACGGCCCCGCCACGTCAATGGCTATTCTCTCCCATGGTGCACCAACATTGTACAACTTCAATGCACCTCTACTACGAGTCTGAGTCCCTTTACAGCCGCAAAACTTGTACATTTGCGACACCAGTCCTCGACATCGTTTCGACAGTGGACCCAGTAAAACCGTTCTCGGATCTTCAGTAGAGTTCGTTTAACTCCCAGATGGCCTCCTGAATAATCATTATGGTACAGCTGTAGAACATCCGGTACTTTAGCTTTAGGGACAACCATTTGTAAATGACAGCTGTCTCCCCGAACATTTTCCCATTTACGGCACAGAACTCCATCCTGAAGCAGCACGCTGTCCCACTGGGCCCAATAGCTTTTAGTGGTCGAACTCATCGCTGAGACGTCGTTCCACTTGGGCTTGGGAGCACTGGCCTTCATCCATTCCAGGATCGGCTTGATGTCCGGATCTTCCTGCTGTGCACGTTGTAAGCTGTCCTTCCACTCGCTGCTGAGGTGGTCTGCCCTGAGCATCCTCACGGATACCACTTCCTTACTCTCTTGCCTAGTACAATGTTTGCAATCTTCAGGACAAGGTCTTCTTGACAATGCATCTGCGTTGCCATGAGATTTCCCATTGCGATGTTCGATCTCAAAGTCGTATTCCTGCAGTAGTTCAATCCACCTCGCAACTTGTCCTTCTGGATTTTTAAACTGCAATAGCCATTTTAGTGCAGCATGGTCAGTTCGTAAGTGAAATTTTCGCCCCAGAAGATATTTGCTAAAATGCTGCAACGACTTTACCACAGCTAGCAATTCGCGTCTTGTGACACAGTAGTTCCTTTCCGGTTTTGACAACGACTTGCTGAAGTAGGCTATCACGACCTCTTGGGCACCATTCCGTTGAGACAACACACCGCCAAGTCCTATATCACTTGCGTCTGTGTCAACTATAAATTCTTTGCTTGCATCAGGGTATCCCAAAATAGGTGTTTTGCACAGACGGTCCTTGAGCTCCTGGAATGCGATATTGCAACTTTCATCCCAGCAGAAATGTCGCTTCTCCTCGGTTAGCTTGTGCAGAGGTTTGGCTATATCCGCAAAGTTCTTCACAAATCGCCGGTAATAGGAGCACAAACCCAAAAATGCTCTAACCTGCGTCTTGTCTTTTGGAACCGACCAATCCTTGACAGCGGCGATTTTCTCTGGATCTGTGCGGATACCTTCTTCCGATACTACAAACCCCAAAAAGTTAACTTGCCGTTGGAATAGTGAACATTTCTTCGGGCTCAACTTGAGGTTGGCACTCTGAATCTTCATGAGCACGCGTTCCAGGTTTTGAAGGTGTTCCTCAAACGTACGGCCTACGATGATGATGTCATCCAAGTAGACCAGACAGGCATCGCCAATTAGCCCGGTAAGTACAAGTTCCATCAGCCTTTCAAACGTTGCTGGAGCATTGCACAACCCAAACGGCATTACTTTAAATTGCCACAGACCCTTTCCCGTCGAGAACGCAGTTTTCTCCTTGTCCTTAGGGTCAATTTCAACTTGCCAGTAGCCACTTTTTAGATCCAGCGTGCTAAACCACTTTACTCCTGTAAGCATGTCCAGCGTGTCATCAATTCTTGGCAAGGGATAGCTGTCCTTCTTCGTAACGTCGTTCAGACGGCGGTAGTCAACACAAAACCGCATGCTGCCATCCTTCTTCTTCACCAGCACCACTGGTGAACACCATGGACTAGAGGAAGGTTCAATAACACCATCCTTCACCATTCCTTCAATCATTGTTTCCACTTCCTTTTCACGTGCTACCGGCAATCTTCTTGGCCGCTGACGGATAGGCAATTCATCTCCTGTGTTTATTTTGTGTTGAACTAAGCCAGTCTTTCCTATGTCAGCATCGTTTGATGAGAATACATCGGCGTACTTGAGTAACAACTTCTTCGCCTTGACCAATTCGTTCGGGGAGAGAACACTGCGACAGTCTTCCAAAAGTGTGGTCACTCTCGTTTCTGCATCCTTGCTGGGGGTCCCACTCGATATATATTGGCACCGACGTAACCAATCCACTTCCTCACAAGTACCAATCAGTGTGCCTTTTTCTATAATCTGTTCCCGGTCGCAAAGGTTCAGCACACGTACTCCTGAGATGTTAGTGGACCTGACCAAGGTTCGAGCTACTTTCCATGGAAGGTCATTGTTTACCCTTTCCACAAGTACACAACGGTGAGCTTGCCCAGCGTTTCGAGGAAGACTAACCGGAACAATCGTTTCCGATCTCGGCGGAAGAACAATCTTCTTAAAGCTGTACACGTTCCCCGGTAACGCACCTTCCATAAAAAGTTCCTCCTGTCCACATTTCAAAACACCTTGCTTAACGTCGGTCTCACAACAATTATTTCTCATAAAGTCTAGGCCTAGGATGCAGTCGTCCATTATATCAGCCACGATGACATTATGCAGGTAGATCACGTTGTCTAGCTTCAACTCCATCTCCTTCTCTCCACGGACGGGTATACGCTGACCGGTGGCTGTTACCAAATTAATGCGTTCTCGGTTGTATGCGGAGACCCCAAGGAACTGACTTATAAGTTGGGAACTAACAACCGTACGAGAGGCTCAAGTGTCTATGCTCAGTTTACACGGCATTCCGTTGACCTCGCCCTTGATGATTAGACTGTTCCCATCATGGGTTTGTGAGATCGAGATCCTTGGGGCTCTTTTAACATCAGCCAGCACCCGCCCCGCAGTTCTGGCTTTTACTCGTTTCCCTGCTGCTGCTGGGCGGTGCTGTTGGCCGCATTACCCTCCTGAGATCGTTCACCTTCCCTTTCTAGGGTTCGCTTAGGGCAGCTGGATCGAAAATAGCCCTTTTCCCCACAGCCATAGCACCTAGGGCTGTATCCTCTGTTGCGGTCGCGAACTGTAGCTGCTGCAACCTCCCTGATGCGATGGGAACGATGATCCTGCCGCACGGCTTCCACCTCCAGTGCATGGGCCAAGGCGTTCTTAAGCGTGTCGTGGTGCCCGAGTCTCACAGCAGCTCTGACTTCAAGGTCGCGGATGCCGTCGATGAATGTCTGAACCAGGTTCCCTTCAATGAGCGCAGGTACAGACTGGTATGCTTTTCGAACCATCTTCTCCACCTCAAGGGCCCACTGCTGCAGGTTCTCGTTGCTGCGCTGCACGCGATCTTTAAGCTGCGCGCGAAAGACGTGTTCCAGATGAGCGTCGCCATATCTCGCTTCCAAGGCCTCAAGAAGCTGCTCATAGGTCACTTTCTTACCGAGAGCTTCCAACACAGTTAAGGCTTGGTCGCGCAGGCCTAGGGTGAGTGCAGTCATGGCTTGGCTTTTATTCCAGCCGTTCGCCTCCATGACGGCCTCGAACTGGATTTTGTAGGCCGACCAGGAAGGGGTCCCGTCGAACGGCGGCACTTTGAATCCACGTAGCGAAGGTGCTGCAGCTACTACGGGAGCTGTAGTTCCATCCGCAAGTTTGAGGTCGTTTAGCGTTTTCTTCACGTCAGCCATCACGTTGTCAACCCGATTGTTCACATGGTTGATTCGGGTTTCATGTTCTTCGATTCGGGTTTCAGCTTCCGATAGGCGGTTGTCATGTTGAGCAACCCTATCCTTCACGTCCCTTATCTCTTTCCCAAAGGTAGCGTGAAGGTCCTTCACGAGGAGCATCTGCTCTTCCGACCGACGAGCCTGTTCCGCCTGCTGACGGGCCTGTTCCTCTTGTCCGCTCTGCAGCTGCTCTTTCAACTGACGGACCTGTTCCTCCTGTCGGCGAGCCTGCTCCTGCAGCATCACCATCAGAGCACCTAAGTCAGGTAGGAGCTACCGACGGGCCTGCAGCCGGTGGCTGGTCCTCCGACGTCTGCGGCGTTGCACCACCAAATCTTCGTTGGTCCGTCTCCTGCTGGCGTTGACTTCGGGTACGGACACCCTCCGTTTCCTCCTTAGGTAAAATCGGCATTATTTTATCCCACTTCTGACACCAATTGTTACGAGCTTGAGGTTCGTGACAATAAAAATTGCCGATAAAATTACCTAAATTAACACTTTAATTTACTTTACACAAATGAAAACTAAAAACACTAATAATTAAACACACTAATTCACTTAATTCCGCTCCGAAGCTTCGCTTGTGTCGCCGAGTTCAACTCTGCTCCCATCGCATCTTGCAGCGCCTAGTTATATAAATTAGCAAAATATCCAGAATGTTCAAGTAAACACGCGCAAGGTACCGAGAGTTCGAGTTTTAAACTTCAAGAAGTTTAGTTCTTCGGTTCGAGACTAGATGGCGCTAGTGCGCCGATTTGAGCGCGGCGTAACAGTATATAGAGATTACCTTTAAGGCAACAACAGCATAAACCATTCCTTCTATCACACGTTCCTCTGATTGTGATAGCGGTAAAGTTAATTCAAGTGTTCCCGCCTCCGCGGCTAATGCGTGCATGACTGAAGACCAGGTAGCCTGGAAACGAAATATCCTATAAATTTCTAAAGAGTCTGCAGCTATATTGTGGTCGCAGCATGAATGGGTCGGCTCGACCGGGGTAGGACCACGCTCTCACTGAATACCAGCGTAAAATAGCAGTTTCATGCTGCTGGGTTTCATATGGTGAGCGTAGAGAACCGGGGACGCTTTTTACTGGAAACGAGACATTCCATCTTGGGTGTCAATGGTGATAACGCATCTGCATTTTGATTCTCAATCAAGAATAAATATGATATATAATAAGTTGTACCACTGCATCCACTAGCCATGAGGTGGACTGTGTGCTCGCTTGTCGCCCTTGTCCTAAAAAATGTTTACCCTAAAATAATATGTGCTCTCTACCGAGAATGACCGACAGTACTACTTTTTTAAGCTAAAGGATATTGCAGTCCATGGACACCTGAAGCCAACTTCAAGCAAAGAAGGCTACAGATGCGCAGTCTCTGAGGACTAAGATACCTCATGCCTCGTAGCCTGTAATGCTTGGCCACGAGGCTTGAGGCATCTTAGCACTATACTATCCTAGTACTTATACTAGCTCCCTATACCCTTCAGATCGGAACCCAGCCGTGCAAGTGCTGCTATTTGGCAGCATTAATAATCTATATCAGGAAGACAAAAAGAAAAATAGTAGCTTTAAATTTTAGAATGGAACTTAAATCATTATCTTCATCATTATTGAAGCCAACAAGTTCTCGTGAATATAGACTTTCCCCAAAGACTGTCACAAAGCACGGTCCTGAGCCATCTGCATCTGTCTATACTCTGCACGTCTCATAAAGTCGTCGTTCTATTTTACAGGGTCTTATGTTGTGCTTGCATGTATGAGGCTACCATTCGAGAAACTTATCTGCCGTTGGCAGTTCCTCAATTCCCTGTCCACTACCTATTTGGCTTGCTGATTCGTTGGGGTATGTCGGTTACTATCTTCTACGGGTATCCTCATTACGGATTTTACCACGCGGAGCAGTTCTAAGCATACCTATAATTCTAGTTCTTTGTGCGACTTTGTACTTCCTTAAACGACCAGCAATTTCTTGATTACAACCATCTTTTACTACTGTAAAGGAACAATTTTCGGTTCCATAGTTCATTAGTATCAGTACGTACTTGGTATAAAACATTTGTTTTAAGCTTTTGAAGAACACTGGTAACACTCGTAATTTCCAGCATTGGCCAAACCTTCTTGGTAGAAAAAGAAATTATCTTGCTGGTATGATAACTTGTTCGCAACAAATTACTCGACAACAAATTCAAATGTACACGACACTCCCAACAACCTACTGTTAAAACCTACGTCTTAGGACACTATTTGCTAAGGTCCGCCAGCGATTCTTTCATAATGTTCACATATATTTGGCGTTTTTTTTGTTTATTGTAGCCAGTAACCTCACCCTGTCATTTTAGTTGAAATCTAGCTTTATTTTCTACCTAGAAGTAAGTGTGATCGGTGAGCTTTGTAGTAAATTAAATTAAATAGCACATACAAAGTACAGAGCGTCAGCGATGGATCCAGCGATGAGAGGTAGCAAGGAAATTTTTAGTCCTCCTCGACGCAGTACTCCACGCCACTGTATTATTGCATAAACTGCCATCAGAATACTAAGAATACTACCCCATATCTGAAACACATTTGTAAAAGTAATATCATAATTGGTTGGCCCTGCAGGCAATCCCTGGAACTTCCCACTAATTTCAATATCAAAGCGCTCCAAATTCGTTGACGTTTGAGCTCTTTGAGTGGAATAAACCACTTTTTTAATTTTTTCAAAATTAAATATGTAAGCAAACGATTTGGATATGATTTACGGCAATCGATGCAATTTTTTGAATTTAACAAAAAAGCTTATCATAAAACAAGATTTCATGGAAAGTTTTCAAGTTATTTTAAAAACACATTTTCGAGATTACTGTCGTCAAAGATATCTCTCGAACGAATCAACCGCTTTTGATGCGGTTTACAGCAATCGCCGCATTGACTTATATATTAATAGTCGTCGTTGTTTTTTTGAGTAAAAGAGCTGATTATATTATAGAATTTATCAAAACAAGTGTGTCAAAGCAATTCCAAGAAAACTACTTTTTGAAAATTAAAAATACTCGAATTTTTGAGGTTTTCTCAGAATCAACCGTGGCGATTCGGTCTATGCTCACAGAAAATCTAAGATCAGCAAGGCACTTTCAGATGCCGAAAACCGCTTTTCGATCGGACACACTATTACAAAGGTATGAGACAAACTTATACATACAGACATACGGACGTCATCGCAAACATAGCCAGAATAGCTTTCTAGAACCTCGAAACGACGAGATCTGATGAGAACTCGATTTTCAAAAACCGGGGTGAAAGCAATAACTTCCCCATATTTTATAAAAGATTTTCATAGCTGGAAGTTAAAATAAAAGACATTACGTCCCACAGCTGGGCACCCCGCTTATTTTGAGAAGGTATTGAAAATTAGTCCGCTACGCTGCTCAAGTGAATGTTGGCGGACTTCACGTGTCTTCAACATATTTTTATTTCACAGGCATACAGTTTTCAAATATCTACATTGTACACGTTGCATAAGAAATAAGATAAAATAGTTATATCACATTTAATTTCACACCTCTAAACCACGAAGTACTCCAGCGCTGGGTAATAAATGCGTCACAATTAAAGAAGTACTGAATATGTCGGAGGATGGAGACTTGACGGCATACTGTGCTTCAAAATCTATATGAAGTTTTAGCGAGTCCAAACTCTGTTTTCGTTCAACGCTGAAACCAAATAAAATATTTTTGCACTACTTTTGAACTTTGATAGAATAAATAGGTAAAAGTCTATAATAGACTTCACCATTTCAGGTCATCACAAGTCCACTGCTGAACATAAGCCTTCCCCAAATACAAGTCTATTTATATATTATATTTTAATTTTAGACCTATTTCTGTACTACCAACTCTAAGTAAAATATTTGAAAAAATTATTTTGGATCAATTGTTAATCTTTTGTAATTCAAATAAATTACTACATACAAATCAATTTGGTTTTACAAGGGTCACTCGACGCCTAACGCAGGTGTTGAGCTTATGAAATATATTTTCAATGCCTGGGAGCAAAAGCTGTATTTGCCTACAACAAAATCCCAGAATTAAATGTTTTATTAAAGAAAAATTGTACAAAAAGGGTTATTATAATATCAAAGAATACCTAAATGAAAATAACCCCTGGAAATGAGGTGATCGCTTTTTTCGCATTGGTTCTATAAAAATTAATTCAAAAATTGTACAAAATAAATAATTGTAAAGTGAAATATGTTTAAATAAGTCCCGCTGGGTTTTTTGTTGGTTCTTCACAGAACAGAGGTCTTTTTATAGAAACATAGGTAAATAAAAAAAAATGAATTTCAATAAGTATTATGCCATAATCTATATTGAATAAAAATCATTCATTTCATTTCATAGACCAGGCCGAATTTCGAGTCTAGCACTCTGTGCAGGACAGGATTATAGTGCACGAGTGTGTGCACAAACACAAGTGCACTCTCTATTGCTTCACTCTCATAGTCCTACAAGACGGCAATTAAATACGACCCAAGAAAGATCGAGGGCAGGAATAACTGCTTCAAATCTGAGTTGTCGCTGTCACCGAGCGATACTGTTATAATGTATTTATGGGTGTGTGAAATTGTAGTTTATTATTTTAATTGTTACTAGAATGCATGGAGGTTACAGAACAGGAGAACGCTACGTACTAAAGCATAGCCCGCCTGTCCTTGAAAATTAGTAGAATTTATAGCGGCGCTGCCGTAGGTGAGTAGTAGCCGCGAAATTAGCTGTTTATGAGTACAAGTAGATGAAGTTAGTTGAATAATGCACAAATTTTCTTCGCGGCATTGGTGAGAAAATTTCCATGCTCCGTAATTTTTTAATTTTTGACAATAAGAAACATTAAAAAATGGAGAAATATTTTATTGTGCGTGGATGTGCAAGTCGTTTAGCATCTGATCGGAAAAAGATATTGAAACTGACTTTTACTGAGCGAACTTAGCATCGCAGCGCCTCACTTATGGTGTCCATATTTCTGGGACACTATTTTCTACGGCGATCGTCCCCTGTTCTCTAACCTTCATGCTAGAATTTGTGAGTTTCGTAGTGAGTAGTGACAGACGATTGTTCCATTATAGTTGCCACGCTTTGCATGCGGGTTAGCAAACGTAGTTTTTTGAGTTGTTAATTGTTATTAGGTCCCATAGTTGCCTCTAAAAAATACTGTCGGGTTGAAGTAATGAGATGGATTCATTTACGCCACCACCACACGGCAGCAATTTGGGAATAATTTCTTGTTTTTATCAATAATAAAACAATACGGACAATTACCGAAGGCTTACTATAAAATGGCGCAGATAAATTAATTCAGTAATGTTAGAAGTAGCAGAAAATGATCGGCGATACAAAAAGTATTTTGCAAATTCATTCGAAGGCCACAATCCTTTCTGAAATCAAAAAGTAAAGTTTATCATGTATGGACTGTATTCAAATTTACAATCTAACTCATCATTTTTTGATCAATTGAGTGTAAATAAAAACGTAATGTAACATTGGCTATACGCCTTCTAGCTTCTAGAGCTCTGTCTCGCCAGCAACGCAAAGTATGGTTCAGTTTTAGTACAGATTCGACCTACCTTATCTATATGTAATAGCTGAAAAAGAACAATAAATATTTACCATTTATACCTTATAATGAGGTAATAATAATCCTGGATTCGATAATTCCCAGAATGTTACCGTCATCTACATCCGACCTCAATAATCTTTCAGCACTTAATTCCTTGCTATTGATATTTATTGTATATGTATTATCGTCACTGCGTTGCTAGCGATACGTTTTTCCAGCAACGCAAATTTCAACAGTTCGTTACGGTGAAAATTTTAGAATACCTAATTTTTAAACTTGGCACCTAATTAGCACCTAAATAGCCTCTAATTCTGGGTTTTTCTAATTGCAAATTCCTGAGTTTGCGTTGCTGACGAGGAATAACTTTCTTCTGGACGCTAGCATAGCCTTATTTCAGAGAGGGAGTTGGAGCAGGGAATTGTCAAGAACGCAAACCCACTGAGTACCGGCAGAATTCACATATATTTTAAATATTTTTTTTTATAATACAATGGTATATCTAAAAAAAAAGCGTGTGTACAGAGTACGCATGTCAGAAGTGAAACTATAATACTATTGTAATCCATAGATTATAAGGAATAAATTGACATGCATTTCATTAAGAATCCTAAAATTTGTGGTGGGAAACAAATTGTCTCCTTTAAAATAGTCGCAATAAAATCTGACGTTCATATTATTATTATCGTGACGCGGCCTTGAAAAGATACCCTCACTTTAAATAAATTTAAAACAAAAGACGACGTTTTCTTTTACTACCGAAGTTGCACGACATTTTCTCTCACTACACATGGTAAATCAGCACATGATATTGCAACTAACAATAATGGCGGGAATCGAGCTTGGTTTGGCTCGCGTACAAAGGCTTATTGCCTGAACTATTGTAATAAGATCGAGTGTATTTCTAGTTAAATAGGTAGCAACCCACCCATCGCTCGCGATTGCTGGGCTTTATTAAAGCTTCGAGTTAAATTACAAATGAAGGAATTAGACGAGCGTATAAAATTTTATTTAATTATTATTATTAATTTTATCAGTAGAAAACCTTTAATGGCTATCGTTGACCTTCTTTAAATTAATAACTTTATCTGACTGCGTTGTATTCAGTTTCATTTAACTTATTTTGTAGTTATTTCATATGGAAAATATAAATAATAGTTACTTCGTAATTATTACCAGTTTCAATTTACGCCCTAAGTTTGGTTATGCAGAATATTCGTATGAATGTTTCTAACATGATATAGTTTTTCTACTAATATCAGAATTTCTGAAAACATTTCTTACCTGGACAAAGTGACCGTTAGGTTTGCGCAGTTTAATTAATATCGGTTTTATATTCTCATCAGAGGTAGTAAACAATGTAAAAAGTTCATTGTTTGACGTAGGTAATTCTGAGACACTAACTTTACAATCATGCCTGTGGGTCGAAATGTTGATTAAATAACTATCACAAGAACATAAATATAGAAAATAATAACACTTACGAGTAATTCTCGCCTATTGTTAAAGTAAAAGGAGGAAAACAGGGGATAAATTTATTTCCAGAATTGTGAAGATATTTAAATTTGCCATTATTTTCATAGCTTATTGCTGTTATTACCAATGAAATCTGAAAAAATTAAATTATAACTTAATTTGCTTTGAAAGTATTATTAAACAAAATGTATTTTATAGTTTTTGTTTCTGTTACCTGTCGTTTAGACAAACGTATTTCATTCGAATCTTTGTCGTCCGAAGTGGATTTATTCGTTTTATTTGTCATAAGCACGGGTAGAACTAAAAACATGAAATACAAGTTAAAGTTACATTCTATATACGTTCTACATACGACTACAGCGTCAATTTTTCGCTACGCTGTACTAGTCCTCAATTTTTTTTTAAATTCGTCGTCGTCGTTTTTTAAATTGTTCTTTGCGACGTTTTCCTTCATTGCCGAGCAAATGGTAATTTTTTTAAAATTTCAATTACAAATTCATTGGTTACCGACTGTGATGATTGTACCGTCATCTCTTAGTCTCTTTTTTATATGGTAGAGCCACGTTGCAACTATATTATAGTTGCAGCACGAATGGGTCGTCTCGAACAGGGCCGGACCACGCTTTCACAGAATACCAGCGTAAAATAGCAGCGCGATTCTGCTATGTTTCATATGCTGAGTTTAGAGAACCGGAGACCCTTTTTACTGGAGTCGAGGCATTCCATCTTAGTCCTCAGGGGTGACAACGCATTTGAATTTTGTTTCTTAATTGAAGATAAATAATGTGGATGTTTATGGGCCACAGCATCCACTTACTATTAGGTGGACTCTGTGCTCGTTGTCTCTATCAATACTATAAAAAATCTGTTGGATGATCATATCCAGAGAATTTCGGTATTTCTCACAGATGTTATTACTACACCCATGAACGAAAAGGAATGGTTTATTGACCTTTCGCCGTCACCACACGATAACCTAACTTTTATATAAGTTAAAACAGGCTAAAATATAAGAATAAGAATATCTCTGAAAATAAAAACGAAAACAAAATATTTTGTCCAGTAACTTACTTTTATGGGTGACTAAGTTTGGGAATATCCAAAGTCTGCATGGTCCCGCTGGATCCGAGGAATAAAAATTACTCACACACGCATTAGCCAGCCAGCGGCAAGCTGCTACATCAGAGTTCTAAAACATTGCCGCATTCTTTTACAGCTTTTTGCACTTATTTCATGCAAAATAATAAGCAAATCATTATCAAAACAAATTTTATGACTGCGAGTTAGATAATTAACAATTAATAGTATATATAGTTTATACGTATCAGCAAGTTTTAAACCAGCCATATAGCTCGTCGAATCGACAACCAATAGGGAAGAAAGGTTTTAGAGCGGCAGACTCGTACGCGAAAGCGAAAAGAAACACCTATGCTCAGCAATGGATATGTGAAGGCACGATGAAGATGATGAATTTATATGTATAGAATTTACCCAATAAATCTTTCATACATTTAATTATTACTACTTTTTTAGGTCACAAGTTTTGACCGCCATTTTTATTTTATAGAACATACTGACGTTATACCCGTCATACTATTGTTACGAGCTTAGGGTTCGTGACAATAAAAACTGCCGATTGAAATACCAAAATTGACACTTTAATTACCGTACACCAGTTACAACTTAAAACACACAAATTATAAAATACAATTAGCAGTTATATCGCATCGAAGTATTCGCTTGCATCGCCAATTCCAGGGGGGGTACACTTCAATAATTTGCAAAGACACTAGTACCATCTTGTACTATATCCCCATAAACTTTCGAACATTAAATTCTAAAAGGTGCGCTAGATTGCGACTACACCAATTCTGGTTATTCTGGAAATGGCAAGTAGCAACTTTATACGACATAATGGCTACCGGGGCTGAGCAAGTTGTTGTTTTATTATAGTTTATAAGTGATTTTCGGTTGTTGCTACAATAAGTTTGGTTGAGTTGGGATTAGCCCTCTGTTTCTTGTTGTCTGTTTAGATTTTCATGCTGGAATTACATTGTATGCTTGTGTAGTGTTGTGCGAAATAGACGCTTCCATTTATCATTCCGGTAACCCGGTGGACATATTTAATTTGGTTTGGTGTTGTATTTTGCGGGATAGACGCTTTTACATCGTGTGTGTTAAATATATATAACAAAAATAAATGTTAATATTACTGAAATCTATAATACATCTTTAATTGAACCCTAATTCCTTAAAATATAAATATACCTATAGTATAGATAGCTGTATAAACATAATTACATACGGCTATCTATAGTCAACATTATATTGAGATTAGTTCAAGGGATATGATACCAGGCGGCGACACTATTCATATTGGGTGACAAAAAATTCTAGAAGATGTCTCTCTATTTCTGTATATATTACTCTACTCTATGGCCAATTCAATACTGACTCGGTCGCGGTCGTTAGAGGCTTCATATAAGGCCTCCTCTACTGAAACATCTACAATGTTCGAGTACGTACCGCTCATGACTGACTAGGTGTAGAAAGTTCTAGTATGGAATTTTCTAGAAAGCTCTCCTATTTCTGCTATTCGATGGCGCTAATGCTAACCCGCCATGTACCAGGTATTAATTATCGCGCGCAAAACTATAATGCAAGTGTTCTGTGCAAATATGAATATGACGTATGACGTATTTGTTAAATATTTTAGAACCATAATAATTTCAATGTCACTCACAGAACACAATTACTCACTTCTATGACTGACTGGATAACATTGATAGAATTTGTTACACAACGAAATTTCTATAAACAAAAAGAATAAAAAGAAGAAGAAGAGAAGAAAAGAGAAGAGAGAATATCTGCCTAAATCCGACGACTAGATAACTTAAGAGTTAAGAGTGGAAAGATAGACTTAAAAACCAAAATATTGCCCTACTTTGGTCACGATTTAAAATACTTACAACACACATGTATTCATATTTGACGATGTCTAGTAGATCAGAGGGATGAAGATGTTTTTCTTCATATTTTGGTCGTTCAATGACATATTTTTTCGGTAAACATTTCCCGTGAACTATGACTTCGTTTCTGTTACATGCACAACTCCCGCACTTGGTACAAATATTATTTTGTACTTTGTATCCGCGCGCGCACTTTATGCACTGCACTTCTGTCAGAGGTGTTCCGTCATGATTTTGCGTAACTGTTGATTTTGATATTAAAAGTTTCATTGTTTATTTTTTATCTATTTGTAGTTATTTAATTAATAGCTTTTCTTCTCTAATTCTGATATTAAGAATGTGGAAGAAAAATTTCGATTATCCACATAAAAGGAGACGGTCCAAATTTGTATGAAGCGTAGGCCTGGTATTGTACATTGAAATAATACTAGTTTTTACGGAATTTATCGCGTATATTTAACTTTTTAAATACCCGACGTTTCGAGAGTTTTACAGCACCCATGGTCACGGGAAGGACTGAGATGTTTGAATTCTAAAATTCAGTTCACAATGGAGTTAGAGGCAAACAATTCCTTAGCTTTTCTAGATGTGTTAGTATTTCGGAATCCTGATAACACCTTGAGCCATACTGTGTATAGAAAAAAAGACCCATACAGATAGATATTTAAACGGTGATTCTCACCACCATCCTTAACAGTTAGCTACCGTGGGTAAATCTTTGTTTCAGAGAGCACGAGGGATCTGTGACAGTAAACACCTGGCTGCCGAGCTCCAACATGTCAAGCAAGTTTTGCACGACAACAAGCTTCGGGTCCCGCGCCTACGTCACAGAGAACGAGTGAAGCCGGCCACAGTCGAGCGTGTACCTGCTGTACTGCCATATGTTAGAGGAGTCACTAACAAGATTGGCTACATCTTGAAGCGCGCTTCCATCAAAACATACTTCAAGCCGCCGAAGAAGATTGGTCAGTTTTTACCATCAGTCAAGTGTCAAAGCTTGATTGTGAATCTCCTACATAGGACAAACTAAAAGATCAATTAAAACCCGCGTCAAAGAACATATAGATGATGTGAAGAATCGACGCTCCGGGAAGTCTGCAGTCTGTGAACATGTACAGGATCGCCCCCGTCACTACATCAGATTTGATAGACCACAAATCCTCGCTAAAGAACACCGATTCCTTCCAAGGATGATTCGCGAGGCTATTGAAATCAAAAAACATCCTAATTTTAATAGAGAAGATGGCTGGGTGCTACCATCTGCTTGGGATCCTATAATAAATAAAATTAAATCCCAACCCAAGCATACAACTGCAAGACTCCATGATACCATAAGTTCATACTGTGTAGATCGGAACAAAAGTTAAATTTTAATCTATGGTAACCGCGGTTAACTATGACAGCTGGACGTTGAACATCTCAGTCCTTCCCGTGACCATGGGTGCTGTAAAGCTCTCGAAACGTCGGGTATTTAAAAAGTTAAATATACGCGATAAATTCCGTAAAAACTAGTATTATTTCAATGTGTAGTGTTCGCGTAAATATAAGAAATCATTACTGGTATTGTACAAGTAAGGAAATAAATTAAAATAATATATTACACCACTCTTGGTCATTCAAATCCATGAATTTGCTTTTATTTCAGTAGTATTAATATTTTATTCTTAACAAAAACTGCAACACCAATGGCTGATTGATGTTGTTTTGACGTTAGCTGTCAACTGTCATGAGGTTATTAATACCCAGTGATTGGGTGCGTTCGGCAGAAAAAAGCGCTAGCAACCGCTTGTAAGCAAAATGGCGATCGTAAGCGGTAAGCGCTGTCAAATCGTAAGTAGCTATTTTCCTCCAGGACACGATGTTAGTTTTAACCGGGGAATCTAACCTAATTTAAATATATGTTTGTAAAGTATTCATATTAAAAACTTACCAATCATGAGTTTTAAATAGCATGTATATGTTTATTCATGTCATTATATTACTTAAAACTAATATTGCACAAAACAACTTATAAACTCTACTTCAAAACAAACAAATTAAATAAGCAAAATGGCGGATTGTGTCAGCGCTACTGAAGTAGCAATTGTGTCCTGGCCGAAAACTATTTTAGCGCTTATAAGCGCTTGCTAGCGCTTTTTTCTGCCAAACGCACCCATTAAAATGTGATTCTACAGATGTCCGATATTAATGAAATCAAAATCTCACGATAATCATGAAGTCCATAAAAGCCGAGTCAAACGAGTAATAACAGATTCAAGTCCCAATAAAAAAAAAACAAATCGCCAAACAACTCCAAAACAAACACAATAAACACATTCACTAGTTCACAACCGCACGAACAAGCTCGGAATAAAAAAATATCATACTACCTACATTATTTCATGCCACTTTTCAGACATGACATTTGACATATAATTTTATGACTGGACGGACTGGAATCCTGCCATCATGGAGTATAGAGGTAAGGAGGACAATCTCGCTTAGGAGAATAGTTGAAAAAGTGTCCATCTATAAGCAGTAAATAACAGTTCTAAAACTCTCCACAACAGCGCTCGAGTAGCTACAGGGTACATGATAAATCGCCGTAAAATACGTTGAGAGTGGTTTTGAAAATAAAAATTTTGAAAGCAATAAAATAATTATTGTAAAAATTATTATGGTGAAATTTTGTGCAATAAAAAAAATATAAAAAGTTCTTAAAAAAAAAAAATCGACCCGGGGTTAAAAAGTGGGGGGGGGGGGCAAAAAAAAACAACCCTGTAGCTACAGTGGCGCCACCCTTATTTAGCACTCTCCTACGGACACTTATTTATTTGTACTCCTTACCTCTACACTCCGTATCTGCCATCTTGTAAAATCATCAAATATTGGGATTGCATTTTTATTTTTAGCAAATCATTTAGTTTGATTGATTCTCTTATTTTTTTAATGATATCCCTGAATTTTTTGCTTTTGTGCGGTATAGTGTACATAGACTGAAATGGACCGTCTCCTTTCAGAAAAACATTTATAATGGTCATGGCTTCAATTTATTGGCAAAATGTAACTTTGTTAGCTGTTTATTTTATTGCTGATTGCTAGACATATATTTTTTATCCAAATAGCAATCTAATAATAATAATATATAATAAATTTGAAATTCACAAGGAGTGTTTTCAGATCTTATTTGTATATTGCATAAAAGACTCACTGATAAAACCCAAACATTAACCCATAACAAACAAAAAAAAAAAACCATAACAAAAAAAATTTTATATAACTCATAAACTAATAAAAAAAATACACAACACAAACAACAAAAAAAAAAAACATTATATTCATATATCATCAGAAGAGTCAATAACAACATTGTAGATTATACTTGTCGGAAATACAAACTGTTGTGAACTAAAAAAATATTTTAATTAGGTACGTTCTAAAAAAATGTTACAGTAACAATCCTAAAAAATTATATATACGATTAATAGATATACGCAGAAGAAAATATGTGATATTACAATCATAAAAATATTTGATATTAAAATCATTACAAGCAAAGCAAAACTCTAGATTGCTTTTACAGAGTTTAAACTTGTAATGATATTTAAGGACTTACCTGATATGTAATCTTTTGGACACTTTCTACATGCAATTCTACCAGAAGAGAGTTGACATCGTCGCGGTACACACGTGTAGCCATCTGCGGACACTACCTCCGTCACGTTGCACACTCGGCACCGGGCTAATCCTGTTTTAATGCTGTGATTTTCACAAATACATGACAAACCTGTAATTAAGTTTTCTTTACCTCACCTTATAATGTTAGTTTGCAGAATGTTATTCATGATACTTAAAACTTCAAAAGAGTGGCGCGGGTATTGGAGTATCAAGAGTGCTCAATTTGAACACAAATTTGTTAGGTACCTTCTTCTTTTTTTACCTTCTTCTTTTTTTTACCTTCATATTGTTTATTTTTATTATAATTTTCTCTATACATACTGTTTCTTATTTATTTTATATTTAGAGCCCAAAAATTTTTAGTACAATTATGGTATAAATGAAACAATCGATAACTTTCCAACTTAGTCTATCACTAACGCATAGGTTAGTGATAGACTAAGTTGGAAAGTTATCGATCGATAATTTTCTCTAGACATACTGTTTCTTATTTATTTTATATTTAGAGCCCAAAAATGTTTAGTACAATTATGGTATAAATGAAACAATCGATAACTTTCCAACTTAGTCTATCACTAACGCATAGGTACCTAAAATAAATGTCATTTTTACGGTACAACGATAGTGCCCGATATTTTCATGTGAGTAAGTAGTACGACGAATGGTAAATGGACGTTGTGGTTTTAGAGATATGGTTTATAATTAATTGTGTAGTACATTCTGATTTATAAAATGCGAGTGTGTGCGCGATTGCGTATATATTGCTTTTACTGATCTGTACGTGTAGTAGTTGGCGCGTGGTAGGGGCCAACTGGAGACACCGGGTTCCGATACATTTTCAACTACTGGGCATATCTCTTTCTTTATTATATCTATAGGTTTTTCTGACCGATACGACTTTGGGCCCTTTATTTTTTATAGGATAAGGCTGACAAACGAGCATAGAGTCTACCTGATGGTAAGTGGTTGCTGTGGCCCATAAACATCTACATCTATCCTCGCTTAAAATCACTTGTGAGCATTAAGATGAAATGCTTCGTTTCCATTAAAAAGAGTATCCGGTTCTCTATACTCACCATACGAAACATAGCAGCGTTAAGCTGCTATTTACGGTAGTATTCTGTGAGAGCGTGGTCCTCCCCAGTCGAGCCGACCCATTCGTGCTACAACTGTACTACTAATATAGATGCCGCATGGCTCTACCACGTTAAAAAAGAGTCCACTCTTTTTTTGAACGTGGTAGAGTCTATGAAGAAAAGAGTCTACTCTTTTCTAAAAGGCAGGCAACGTACCTGCTATTCCCTTGGTGTGGCAGATGTTTTTGGGCAACGATGATTACTTACCATCAGGTTAGCCACACTTAATTAATTTTTGTCTTGTCACTTAAAAAATTTCCCCGCATGCCCCTTGGTACAAGCCTAGCTTGCATTTAGGATAATCCGCCAAAAAATCCGTATATTATATAACTGCACTCTTATTGAAAATTTATTTATTTTTGTTTGTCCAAGCTTGATTCACGTGTCAGGCGCCGGGGTAGTACGAGTACTATGATCGCCAAGCGTAATCGCCACGCTTGGCGATCATGGTACTAGACGTCTCGCACCTTGGACACT